CAGGTGCCAACTGGTAAATGTAGGAGTTGAAAAATTATCTGGCAACCACCATGGTGAAGATTGGATCAGACAAGAATAATAGAAATATCCTAAATCTAAGGGCATTTTCAATGTGGGCCAGGATATTTGCATTGTTTTAAAGTCTCTCTCACATTTTGCAAGGGAAAAACTAGTAATTATAAAGTGAGGGAATTGGATAACACCTTGACCGGGTGATTAAAATTAATATTAGTGAAGATGGTAGATAGACATCCATGGTACCCTGAGAAGGACACAGTATCACTAATAAAATTAATATTATTAGTGAAGATGGTAGATGGACATCCATGATACCCTGAGAAGGACATAGAATCAGTAATAGAATATTTCAGGCAAGAATGCATAACTGAAATCTAATCATGAGGTAACATCAGACAAACTATGAACTAGGACTGCTCTATTATAAAAACAGGATTTGTCAAAAATGTCAGTTTCTTAAGAGGCAAAGAGACTGTGGGAAAGATCTTGATTAAAGGAGGCTAAAGAAACTTGACAACTAAGCCATACCTATCTCTCCTATACCGGATACAAAATGCTGTGATAAAGAACATTGTTAGACCAGTTGACAAAAGAGATGATTAAAGAATTATTTCTTTTTTTTTTTAATGTTTATTTTTATTTTTGAGAGAGAGAGTGCGAGCTGGGGAGGGGCAGAGTGAGAGGGAGACAGAGAATCTGAATGAAAGCAGGGGCTCTTGACCTGAACCGAAGTCAGATGCTTAACCAACCTAGCCACCCAGGTGTCTCAATTAAAGAATTATTTCAATACTAAATGTACTGAAGCTGATATCAGTACTGTGATTGTATAATAGAATATCCATATTCTTAGGAAACACTTTAAGAAATGTTTAGAAATAAGGAGCTAGAATGTATATATATTAACTTTTCTGAAATGGTTAAAAAAAAAAGTGTGTGCATAAGTGTGTGCGTGTGTGTGTGTGTGTGTGTTTTAGAAAGAATAATAAAGCAAGTAAATGGGATAAAATGGTAACAATAAGTGAATCTGGGTAAAGGTAAGTATGTGAGTATTCTTATTCTTATAACTATTCTGGAAGTCTTAAATTTTTTCTAAATAAAAAGTTAATTTAAAGAAATATTTTTTGTGGTGGGGGGTGGCGCCTGGGTGGCTCAGTTGGTGAAGCGTCTGACTTTGGCTCAGGTCACCATCTTGAGGTTCATGGGTTCGAACCCCGCATCAGGCTCTGTGCTGACAGCTCAGAGCCTGGAGCCTGCTTCAGATTCTGTGTCTCCCTCTATCTCTCCCCCTCCCCCTCTCATGCTCTGTCTCTGTCTCTCAAAAAATAAATAAACATTGAAAAACCTTTTTTTAATTAATAAATATTTTTTTGAGATGTAGGACATTTCAAGAATTCTCTGTCAATAGCTGTTATCAGTCCATACCGTGAGATCTTCAGTTTGGGATATTTCCTTTAATGTTTGATAAAACACTAAACTGAGAGCAATAAGAAGTTTTTTCATGTAGTTCCTAACTACTCAAAGCCATTAGCTTTTATTAAAAAATTATACTCAATTGGCTACATTTATTTTCCACAAAGCAGCAAACAAACAAAACAGGGTCTCTAATTTTCATTTGTACATCTAGATAGATGTAAGAAAAGTGAATTTGTGTATAAGTTCTCAAGATTTTTACAGCCCATTTTAGATTTTTACCTAGATTTTGGTCTGTTATAAGCTTTTAAGCCAAAAGCAGAGTGTTGCGCACAAGGAATCAGTAATATTAGCTCAATAAAAAGGGAAAACGTTTTAAGTAAAATGCTCTAATTTGGGAGCATTAACCCAGTTTATGTATTTTGTTCTAAATAATGCAAGTAAATTTGAAGTTAGTGAATAAGATGGATAATATATTTTTTAAATCTCAAGAAAAATGATCATTAATATATAGAGGGTTTAACATTTAGTATACAAATAATAGGTGCTTGATCAAAATAAAAATAGTTTTAAGTGTTGAAGTTTAAAGAAATTATAAATTCAAGAAGCAGAACTTTTTATTCATGTTCATATAGTAACTATCAATCAAAAATTTGGTGATGGTGACTTTTTCTCCTTTAAGATTTTCTGTTACAAAAATATCATTTATTGAATATTTAACATAAATATTTGTTAAAAACATTTATATATGTTTAAAATTTACTAGAAACATGGTACAAACTTATCAGAGATGGAGAAAGGGGATAGTGTGGGTTATTATTGATGGAGAAGGTTACATATTATAATTTCTCATACTCTTGTAGTGTTTAAGTCTTTAACCTGTTCATATATTTGTGTAGTACTTGTATAAGAAAATGTTAGGGGCACCTGGGTGGCTCAGTCGGTTGACCAACTGACTCTTGATTTGGCTCAGTTCATGATCGCAGGGTTGTAGGATTGAACCATACATCAATCTCCTTGCTGAGCATAGAGCTTGCATGAGATTCTATTTCTCTCCTTCTGCCCCTTTCCCGCACTTGCTCTGTCTCTTTCTCTAAAATTAAAAAAATTTAAGGAAAATATTAAAGGAATACCTGCTTATTAAATTAGAAAAATAGAAAAATGAGATGAGTCATAAGGAGAGAAATTACCTTTATCCAAATAGAACCATTGTTAATATTTTTGAATGTTTTCTAGTGCTTTTCTTTAATCTTTGTGTAGATGTATTAGTGATAAAAAACACATTTTAGGGGTGCCTGGTTGACTCAGTTGGAGGAGCATGTGACTCTTTGTCTTGAGGTCAGGAGTTAGAGCCCCATGTTGGGGGTAGTTTACTTAAAAAAAAAAAGAAGAAAAATGCATTTTAGATTCTGCTTTTTGTTTAGTAGAATAGTGTTTCTCAGGTTATGTATGTTTCATAGTCATCAGTTTTAATAGTTGTATAATATTTCATCAACTCAATATTTTCCTTATCCATTTCCATGGTTTTGGGTATTTAGACGGTTTCTAGTTTTTTATTACAATGAGCATCCTTGTATATGTAACATTATATTAAGTTAGAATTAATTATAAAATTACCAGAATTATTTATTTTTTATTAAAATTTTTTAAATGTTTATTTAATTTTGAGGGAGACAGTGTAAGTGGGGGAGGGACAAAGAGAGAGGGAGACACAATCCAAAGCAGGCTCCAGACTGTGACCTGTCAGCAGAGTGTGATGTGGGGTCCCAACTCATGGACTATGAGATCATGACCTGAGCCAAAGTCACTCAGCAGACTGAGCCACCCATGCACCACCCCCCCCATTATAATTTCTGTATCTAGTAGCATCAGTATTAAAATTCCTCTTATATTGTCAAAATGCTTTTCCATTGATGGAAACAGTTCACATTCTCCTGTCAGTGATATACTAGAATGCATATTTCATCATATCTTTATCAGCACTAGTATTATTAAAATAAAACTTTGCTGAGATCATTTTGAAAAATTATTTGGATTGTTTTTATCAATGAGGTTCACATGTTTTTTGTTTTTTCTGTTTTAATTTTCCATATTTCTTGTCCATTTGTAATACTCTTTCTCAGTAATGAAACTAATTAGCTTTGAGAAAAATGATTTAGAATGATCTGAAATCCAGTCATTTCATCTCATCTCAGTTTGTCTTGATACCATAGGGATGACAGGAGCTACATTTTAAATGGTAATTTAATATGCATTTGTAACATTAAAACATTTTTTTTTTAGAATCTTGGCCCTTTCTAAGGAAACACTCTTAATAGCTTTCATTAAAAGTTCATTGCTCATTTTATAGTGCCAAATTATACCTTTAATCAAGGTGTGAAAACATTCATTACTCATTCGTCTGAGAATGGTGTTCACTGAAACAGTATGTCCATACCTCACATGATGTTTTTGTGATGGCTCTTAAAGCTTTACATTTGCATAGTATTTTAAATTTTGAAGTGCTGTCACATCTATAAACTCTTTGAAGATGTCTCCTTAATATTTGGGTTGTTCAGTCAAAAATAAACCCTTTTGGGGGAGCCTGGGTGGCTCAGTCAGTTGAGTGTCCAACTTCTGCTCACGTCATGATCTCATGGCTTGTGAGTTGGGGGCTTGAATCAGGCTCGCTGCTATCAGTGCAGAACCCACTTCAGATCCTGTGTCCCCCCTCTTTCTGCCCCTCCCCTGCTCATACTTTCTCCCTCAAACATAAATATTAAACATTAAAATAATAATAAAAATAAACTCATTTGTCCTATAGAGTAACTATGCTAATACTCAGGTTGAACGGTCATTCATTGAAGTGATTGTCTTTCTCTAGCAGATTTGATTTACATCTTATCTTTTTTTTTTTTTTTTAACTTTTTGCTTATTATGGTATTGACAGTAAATGTCAGGTGTTAATATTTTAGGCCCAAGCAAAAAAATGTTTTAAACTTTTATATTTGAAATTATTTCAAACTTACAAAGTCTTCAAACTTATATACCTTTTATCCACAGATTCACCAGTTATTAAACATATTGCTATATTTGCCTTATTATTCTCCCTTTCTCTATATACATATGCAGATCACTTTTTTTTCTAACTTTTTACACAGAAGTTGCAGGCATCATACCTAAATTTTCACGTATTTTGTAATGGTTTCTTTGTCTCTTTTAGTAGATCCTTTTTTTAAAAAAAATCTATTATTGTTGACACACAATGTTAATGTTTGTTTTAGGTGTATGACATAGCAATTCAACATCTCTATATAATGCTCTGTTCATCACAAGTGTAGCTACCATCTGTTGCCATACAACATTATGACAATATCATTGACTATATTCCCTATTCTGTACTTTTTATTCCCATGACTTATTCATTCCATAATTGGAAACCTGTGTCTCTTTCTCTCCTTCACCCATTTTGCCCATCTTCTTACTCCATTTGTTCTGGCACTCATCACTTTGTTCTCTGTATTTGTACGACTGAATCTTTTTTGTTTGTTTATTTATTTGTTTTGTTTTTTAGATTCTACATATAAGTGAAATAATAAAAATGATAGGTGCCACAAAGTACGTGGCAATGCCTTAAAGCATATGTGGATTGTCAGACTTGAGGGCCTCTTACATCTTTGTAAAGGGGAGTGCTAACTTCTTTCATACAACACTCTTCTATGAGATTCTAAAGTCTTTGGTGATAAGGACTTTTTATTTTTTTTTTATTTTTTTAAAGATTTTTATTTATTTCTAGGAGAGGATAAGGACTTTTTATTAATTCCCCTTTGTCTCCATAGTGACTTGTGTAGCATTAGGTATGTAGTAGCAGAAGTACAGTAAATGTTTGTTAAATGAATAATTTAATAAACAAAGGGATATATGCTAATGTATAAACTCAGAAATATTTTCAGATGCTTGAAAGGAATAGGATTTGTTGTCATATGTAATCTGGCAAAAGTGATACTAATGGACAGGTATTTATTGAAAGCTGGTTGCTACTTTCAAAAAGGACAAATAGTTCATGAGATACCAAGCACAGACAAAAAACTATTATTAACTCCCTTATTTTAGATTCATCATGGCCAAGTACAAAAAAGTCCTACTTTTTCCTGTTCTCCTTTGCCTTCCCTAAAAATAAACACCAGATTTTAATTCTTAAAATAATTTAGGAATATAGAAAAATTTTTCTAAATAGATGCTGTTACATGATCTCATATTCAGAGACCCTTACTAAAAAGTACAATTGTGGCATATTTTAATACTGGTAAAGAAAATGATGCGCAAGTAAGTTATGCCTTTTTAAAAGGTTGTGTTCTAGGGAACAACAGAAGGTACTTAATGTTCTGTTTAGCCTATTCATTTCTCTCTTGATTGTTTTTAGCCGAACAGTTTACTTCCTGACATCAAACTATTCATTGCTGTTACTGGAATTATATCATTCTCATCAAGTATTCATTTACACAATATCCAGAACCGTGTTTACTTGCCTTCTTAGTGCTATGTCTCATACATTGAATGGGGTTAGACCTGGTGGCAGTGAAGAAATATATGGGTGACTGAGAATAACAAAATATAGCTCTAACTCTGTTTCCTTAGAAAAAGCTTGTTTTTTACCAACCTCAGTTGAAGCTGAAGATCATAAGGTACTTAGTGATAGAAACTAAAGCATATGAGAGCAGGGGATCTTTAAGGTCGGGAAGGAGCTGTCAGGGAAAATGTGACAGACTAACCCATAAGTGAATATCTGTAATTTTGCTGAGCCAGAGTCTTACATTATAATCATTTCAAGATTACTTTGATGTGGAGTTAGGGGAGTAGAGAAAGGTATTACACTTACCTTTAGTTCTTAATTTTTTTTTTTTTTACAGATCAAAGATTTTAAGTAGTCTTCTAAAACTGTCCTATTTAGTTTTTTGGAGGCAATGAGATAGGGCACAAGTTAATGAAATCTCTGCAGACTTTATTCTGGCTGTTTTGCTAAAAAAATTAGCAGAATGAAAAGTCCACTGAAACTTTAGTTGCAACATAAATGAAATGTCTGTTTTAAAATAATTAGGGGTGCCTCCCTCCTACACTGTTGGTGGGAATGTAAACTGGTACAGCCCCTCTGGAAAACAGTGTGGAGGTTCCTCAGGAAACTAACAATAGAACTCCCCTATGACCCAGCAATAGCACTGCTAGGAATTTACCCAAGGGATACAGAAATGCTGAGGCATAGGAGCACATGTACCCCAATGTTCATAGCAGCACTCTCCACAATAGCTAAAACATGGAAAGAGCCTAAGTGTCCATCAACAGATGAATGGATCAAGAAGATGTGGTTTATCTATACCATGGAATACTACATGGCAATGAGAAACAATGAAATCTGGCCATGTGTAGCAACATGGATGGACCTTGAGGGTGTTATGCTGAGCGAAATAAGTCAGGCAGAGAAGGACAAATATCATATATTTGCACGTATAGGAGGATTAGGAGGAACTTGACGGAGAAACAATGGGGGAGAAGAAGGGTGGAAATGGTGGGGGAAAGGGAGAGAAGCAAACCATGAGAGACTCTTGAATGCTGACAAAAACTGAGGACTGATGGATGTGGGGAGGAGGGGGGATGGGCATGGAGGAGGACACTGGTGGGGATGAGCACTGAGTGTTATGTGGAAACTAATTTGACAATTAACTATTAAAAAAAAAAAAAAAAAAGAATCAGTCACTCAACCAACTGAAAAAAATAAAATAAAATAAAATAATTAGGGGTGCCTAGGTGGCTGAGTCGGTTAAGCGTCTGACTGCAGCTCAGGTCATGGTCTTTTGACTCATGGGCTGAAGCCCTGCGTCAGGCTCTGTACTGACAGCTCATAGCCTAAAATCTGCCTTGGATTCTGTGTCTCTGTCTCTCTCTGCCTCTCTCCCACTCCCACTCTGTCTCTCAAAAATAAATAAGTTAAAAAATTTTTTTTAAATAAAAATATCAGCAGTTTCTTGTTAATGTTGGGAAAAGGTATGTGAGCATTGTTAAATGCCATAAAAATTAGGTCCTGTTCAAACTTTAAATCACCAATGATTTCTGGCCAGTAAGGACACTGGCTCTCTGTTCTCAAAAACAACAACAACAACCAAGAAACAAACAAACAAAAACACCAAAAAACAAAAACCCTTTCCTCCATTTCCAGCATTGGAGGTATAATTTAAATGTTGTGCTCTTCCACTAACAAGGACTACTACCATTTTTTTTTTCAAAAAGGAAAGGAAAAAGAACTTCTAATATTTAGAAATCCATGTCAGTCATTTTGCTGTAGCTCACGCTCTGAGGTTCATTCAGGTCTGAGGTTGCCATCAGAGGCCTAGAGCATGCATTCAACCAGAAATGCATTATGAGATAAATCTCCAAGAAAAAACTAGCTGGAGATGAGATTTTGAGTTATAGGTTGCTAACTCGTATGCTAAATCTTTGTGCCTCAGTTGTTTTTTTAAATATTTTTTTCTTGGGACACCAGGGTGGCTCAGTGGGTTAAGCATCCAACTTCGGCTTGGGTCATGATCTCACGGTTCCTGAGTTTGAGCCCCGCATGGGCTCTGTGCTGGCAGCTCAGAGTCTGGAACCTGCTTCAGACCCTCTCTCTCTCTGCCATTCCCCTACTCACACTCCGTCTTCCTTTTCCTCTCAAAAATGAATAAACATTTAAAAAATTTTTTTAAAAAGGTATACAAAATTTTTTTTCTTCTAGTGCTAAGTCTATGTTTCTGTTGTTTGTCTTTTTTTTTTAAGGGGATAAGTACCATATTTGATTACTTTCATTATATGGGAACCTTAAAAAATGTAAACCAATGTTTATGTACCTGTTTAGTACTTAATTACAAGCAGACCTGGCTCTAGACATACTTTCGAATTAAGGAAAATTAGGTACTTTTCTTCCTTTGATATCTTATTTTCTCAGTCTCTTTCTTTTTTTCCCCTTAGGAAACCCTCCTCCCTCTGTTGTACCCAGTAGGATATGTTCAATTTTATAGGCACGGTCTTTTCTTCCCTCATCTGCATATGATGTTCTTAGCTCTATTTCCCTTCGGACGTTAGTGTTAGATATTGATTTTATGAGTTTTGCATCATAAGGTACTTGCAGTAAACGTAAGATTCTTAAAGAATGTTATTCCAGATGGGATACATTTAGTAGTAAAATTTTAATTGACTTTATCAGGATTATAGTTATTAGACTGAGAAGTCTTTTTACAATAAAAATATAAAGGAAATTCAGGCATTTAGCATATAGTGAAATCCAAACTAAATAATAGTTTAAAATATTATGTGTCAGACGTTGTTCTAAGTGCTGTCTATGCATTAAACTTTTTACAGTTAACCCTTACAAAAACATATGAAATTGTTACTGTTACATTCTTATTTTAGGTTGAGAACACTGAGGCACAGATACATAATTTACCAAGTAACACAGTAAATGGAAGAGCCAAGATTCAAACCTAGGTGTTTTGGCTCCAGAATATATGTTATTAACCATTACTCTCTAGTGGTTTTAACCATTACTCTTTATAATCAGTTATCATTAATCATTACTCTTACACTCAGAGGGCCAGTTTATGTTTGTTTGTTCATTCATTTGGAAGGAAGACAGGAAATATTATTTTGAAGATACTTGATCACATTTCTTAAAATTTAAGGACTCTTCATGATTTTTTCACCATATCCGTGTACTATTGAGTGTCATAAAATGTTTTCTATATTCACATGATGTATTACTTTATTATTTAATATTTTTCTTCAGATGATCTCATTAAAAATTATATGTACTTTAAAAGGAAACTTTCCATCTCTACTGTAAATGAAAAGCCAATGTCATAAGTAAAAGTAACTTTAAAAATTATCTAAAAATAAATAAGATGAAAACTAAACCATATTATATATACTAGGTAGCTGGATGTTATTGCTTGCCAAATTGTCTGAAACTTGAAGCTTACTTTCTCTGTGTTAAAAGAGAATAACAAATATTTGAGAAGTAATAGAGATACACTGTCACCAGATTGAGGTTTTCTTCTTTTATAATTAGGTAGAAGAAAGAAGACTAACTTTCACTATTACATGTCCATGTACCACCTAAATCCAGAAGTCTGACACTTCAGGAAAGTGAACTCTATTTAATTTTGCGTCTATTCAAACTATAAGAGACTTTGTAGTATTCTGTTTAAAAAGGAAATCAGTTTTCAAGTAAATGAATTTATATTTCTAGCTTACTTTCTTATCCCCTTACTTCATGCTTATATGTTTGTTAATTCCTAGAGTTTGAAAGAAGTGTATGATTATTGTAAGGTTGGAACACTTATTTTAGAACATTTCCTTGATAAGTTTTCTTGAATTAGTATAATTAACTTCCCTAACTACAAAGTAAACAAAGTAATTAAGTTAGTAGACAAGCAGACAAAACTTGTCATTTTCTAAAAAAATTAAATAGACCTAAGTCATTGTATTTGATGTTGGAAGTTCTTGGATGAAAGTCAGTATAAAGATATAGAATACTTTCATTTTCTTTTATTTAAATCATTAAGTTGATGGCTATATCAAATTATTGAGAAACAAAGATTGAATAAAGGTTTAAGAAGTCACATTCTAATTTATGTTGTACGGTTCAGATTAGAAATTTTAACTTCACTGTCAGGCAGCAAATGAC